CATTTATGGGCGAATCTCATTTTGCTGTGGAAGTAATAGAGTGAACCGTGGTAAGGCAGGTCACTTATTTGTGGGCAAAATGTCCGTTTTGATTTGTAGTTTTAGAAATGATTCCTTTGATATATGGTATAAAAAAAATGTCCGTTTTGAAACCGAACTTCTTAAAGCACTGTCATAAAACGTAATTTGCAAATTTAGTATGCAAAAGCTCTGGATTGTTTTTCTTCTTTGGCGGAATAGGGAAGGAAATGAGGTCCATGCGTAGTCCTTCATATAATAATAACTACAACTCTACAATTAGTCTCGAATTTTAATCCGGATTTGTTCAAACGGGTCAGCGGGTTTGGGTTTGAAAAGTGGGTGGGTTTAATTTTTAAGTTAAGTATTATACATGGTTAATCATAATAACTTAATAGGTTATGTGTCTATTTTAAATTAAATTAGTTTTCAAATTTTGGGTATGTTAAGTTTGAGTGGTTTTTTATTTTTTGGCCAAAATATAGGTTGACAGTATTTTTAGACTAAAAGGTGGATGAAAAATATTTTGATTTTTTTTTATTTAATAAATGAATTTATAATATGTACATTGTCAATTTAGACATTCGAGCTTATCACATCATCCTTATCTAATGTTATTACATTTTTTATGTGATTTGTGAATTGTGCGCTACATTCACCGGGCGCACATCAAAAACAGTGACTACAAGTGTTTGTAGATATTTCTAAAATGAAAAAAAAAAATTAAAAAAAGAAAGAAGAAACAGATGGTCCACTTAAATCTAGTGCAACGAATACGGCCCACTTAAATGTAGTACAACGTTAATGAAAGCAACGAATAGTCAATGATCCCAGCAGGAAATCGTCCTTTTATATTCAATGTGATATATTAAAACTAAGCAACTTGTCGAGAGAAAATGACCAAAATGATCCTTAATTTATGAGTAATGTTTTATTTTGGTCCTCTATATATTTCTCTTTATTGAAATGGTACTTAATGTATAATGAATGTGTTAATTTTAATCCTTCATATATTTCGCTTAATTGAAATAATCCTTAATATATAATTTAACTGTGGACTCCATGTGGCTAACAAAAACCATCATTATTGTCTTCTTTGTTAGCTTTGATGAAAAACTTTATAAAATTTGGTAAATTTTGTTAGCCACGTAGGGTTCATAGTTAAATTTAACACATTTTTTTTTGATAAACTTGTTAAAATTAGGATAAAGGACTGAAATGGACACTTTTTTATTATACATTAAGAACTATATTTCAATCAAGTGAAATATATTAAGGATCAAAATGAGTACTATTATTATACATTAGAGACTATTTCAATCAAGTGAAATACATTAAGGACTAAACTAAAACATTACCCATATATCAAGGACCATTTTGGGCATTTTCTATCACTTTGATATAAAAAGGATGATTATTTTCTTAGTATCATAATATATTTTCTTGTTTCAGTATCTAAATTATTTTCAACCAAACACTAAGAGGATTTTTTTCTTAATTAGAAAACAATTTCAATTGTTTAAACACTTCTCCACATTTGTAAACACAAGACAACTGTCAAAAAAACAGTTTTAATTATTTCCATTCAAGAAGGATCAATAGATCAAATAGTATTCTCAAATACTTTTTAGCATAACTTATGAATTAACGGAAGAAAAAAAGAAGATTAAAAATGAGAATTCAGTTATTGAATAGTACAATCATGCCACAAATAGATGTGGTGCAACGAATAATGTTGCTCTTCTTAACTAGAGGTTCTGGATCCGAGCCATGAGTACGGAATAATCCTTGGTAGGAAGTGTTTCCCTCAAAATAAGGCTCTACGTAACGCGAATTCAGAATAATCGAACTCTAATATGGATACCGAACATCAAATAAAAAACCAAAATAAAAAATAGTACAATCATAACAAGGTGTACCGAATAAAAGTGGAGGTTTTTTTCTTGCATATTCACGATATATTAATGGCACGTACATGCCCAAAAGTTTAAGAAAACAAATACTAGTAGAAAAATAATCATGCAACTATAGTACCTTTAATAAACAAAACAAAAAAAGGCCAAAAATATCTCTAACCTTTCAAAAAATTCATAAACATCCTCTAACTATATTTTGGCGTAAAAATACCTCAATTTATATTTTGACTCAAACATATCCCTCAAACTTAACACTCATCTGATGATTTTTCTCAATTTAAAATAGCCACGTAACTTATTATAACTAACCACGGATAATGCTTAAATACTGATCGTGCAGCTAGAAAATTAATCAAGGACGAGCTAACGTTTGTTACATCCCATAGCGGTAATTATTTAAGTTTGTTCTATACTCAAGCTTTTGTTTTAATTATATTGCATCTTAAAGAACTGTCATAAGACGTTAATTTGCAAATTTTGAATATGTGGCTTATTTTATATCGCAAAAAGTCATTATATTTTTTGTGTTAAGTTTGAGGGTATTGTTGAACCAAAATATATATTTTTATACTTGTAAATCGTTTTTCATATGATACGGATATTTTTTACCCTCTTTCATTTAATAAATGAATTTAAATATTTAATATATATAGTGTTACTTATTTTATACTAATAATATGTATAATTTAAACTCTAAATAAACTCTTCATCACAACTACTCCTCGTTTTATTGTTGAGTCTTTTTCTCAATAAATAAATATTTTTAAATTATATAGTACAACATTTAAGAGTAACACCTATAATATAGAAAGAGAAGTTATTTCTCATCAACCCACTGCAGCTGCATTTATATTAACGTTATAGTTTTCTAACTGACTTTAAAAAAAGGGAAAATGACAAACATACCTTCGAACTATCGTAAATGGTATGCAGGTATTCTCCGTCATACTTTTGAGATATTGATGCCTCTACAGTCCAAAAATTAGAGCGTATTTACCCTTCACTCTAACGAAAGACCAAATAAAGACATGTGGCACAATCCTACGGAGGAACCCGTTTGACCAATTAATTAGATCCAAAATTTAAAAACCGACCCATTTTTATTTTAAATCCACCCGAAACCAAATTAAAACACACATCTTCCAAAATCCATACAAATTGAACCTGCCAAGGCTAATGGTCTCTCTAAATCCTTCAAATCTTATGACCTTTACACAGAAAAAACATAACTTTCAAGGGCTATCATATAGTCTAGAGTAGAAACGCGATTTTGATAATTCTTGAAAGTCTTGGGACTTCATTTGTTGCAAGGCTTGAGTGAGAGAACACATTAGGATAATGCAAACGGAATTCATCATGTTGTTGTTACCATAAATTTCATTTCCCCTGCAACAATGTTTATTCTTGCATGATCTACATATAATAGATAAACAGAAAATCACACTCACACTAAAATAAGTCAAGATTCTAAACAACAGCAATTAAAACGGGAAGAAAGAACAATGTTCACCGGAAAATTATTAGTAATTAAAAATCCTAAAATAACAATAAGGATGGCCGGAGTTTGAACCCCTCCGGCCAGATCTGAAAAGAAAAACGACGTGAAAGAGATTATCGGAGTTGGAGCCACGCTGGTGGTTGCTGGTTGTTGCTGTTGTTGAAAATTGCTGAAGCTTTGAGCTTCGCCAGAGTTGTTTAGTCGGAGCTTTGAGCTTGCTGGCTGGATATGGGTTTCGTTGTTGTTCGGCTGAGCTTCGAATTTCGAGCTCGCCGTTAATGGCTGCTTTACGGCGATATGGTGGCTTTTGGTTGGAATTTTGTTTGGTCGTTGCTTGCTGCTCGGCGTGAAGCGGAGGGGTATCGATGGTCACTGGTTTGGGGTCCGATTTTGGCTTCGTTTGCTGGATAATGGAGGTTGATTCAATGGTTGATTCCTGATGGCTAATGGTGAAATGGGTCTAGTTCGTGAAGGTGTTTTCGGTGGCGTTTTGGTGGTGGCGAGCTGGGTGTTTTAATTTGGGTCAAAGGGTTTCGGGTGGGTTTAAATAAAAATGGATTGGTTTTTAAATTTTGGGTCTAACTAATTGGTCAAACGGGTCTATTTGTAGGATTGCGCCACGTGTCCCTATTTGGTCTTTCGTCACAGTGAAGGGTAAATACGCTCTAAATTTTGGATAGCAGGAATACCCATATCCCAAAAGTATGATGAAGGGTATCTGCATACAATACCATTTACGATAGTTCGAATGTATATTCTTTCCCTTAAAAAAATGAAAAATTATGGTGTACCACTTGATGAAAGACGGGCATTAGGTTGGGTTAACAAATTAATTTATTTTTTTTAGGAGCTTTCACACATTTTTATTTTTTACCTGAAGAATCTTCCTCTGTGAATATACATAAGAAAAAAGTTTTTTAAAACAATGATTCAAATATTATTAGCATGTAGAAGAGTGGAGAAAATATCAAAATGGTCCTTAATATATTGGGGTTGCTTTATTTTGGTCATTAATATATTCTAGGTGATTGAAATAGTCTTTTATATATGTCAAAATGTGTTTAATTTAGTCTTTTATCCTAAACTTAACAATTTACCCCAAAAAACTGTTAAATATAACGGTTGGACCCACATAACTTATAAAATCCACCATTTTTATCATCTTTATTAGCTCAAAGAAAGAGTTTCATGAATTCTAAAACACCATTTTCTCTAATATCTAACCACACAATTACAAAATAATTATTGTAAAAAGGTTGAATAATTATAATATGTGGGAGATATGATGAACGAAATTGGTCCATGTTTCTGATTGAACAGTGACAGATAACACCTTTCTTTTTTACTCTACTGATCCCCCATTATTATTATTTTATATTTTTATGTTTTATTGCCAGATTTGTGGAAAATAGCTCAAAGATTGTATGCCTTTTGGCAATATACGCTATACCGATCTAAAGCATGAATAGATGATTTTTTTTCAAGTATGAGAGCTATCTGTATTTTCTGCTAATGCTTTATGATCTATTTGAAACTGTTCTATTGTGAAATTTTTAAAAATTATTTGTCTTTTGGTGTGATGAATTCATGAAAATTTCACATGTCAGACTTCAGAGAGAATTATTTTGTAATTGTGTGATTAGATGTTAGAGAAAATGGTGTTTTAGAATTCATGAAACTCCTTCTTTGAGCTAATAATGGTGAATTTTGTAAGTTATGTGGGCCTCACCGTTATATTTAACAGTTTTTTGGGGTAAATTGTTATGTTTAGGGTAAAAGACTAAATTGAACACATTTTGTCATACATAAAGGACTATTTCAATCACCTAGAATATATTAAGGACCAAAATAAAGCAACTTCAATACATCAAAGACCATTTTAATCATTTTCTCTAGAAGAGTGCAATACTTATTGATGTACCATTAAAAGTTGAACTTTTTTTGCATCCCCACAAATATATCAAGGAACAATACGAATATCACTAATTTGAAGCCAATTATTTATTTTTAAATGAATTTTTGATATTACAGTATTTTTTTTATATTTTTATCCCAAATACATGCTAAATAGATTTATCTAATTATTTGTATTTAAATATGGAACATAATTAAAATGTCAATTTATGAGCAAATCATGCCTCATCCAAATTTTTAAAAAATAAATCTCTTTTCATAAAATATTTTTCCATAAATACATATAGAAGGGTAACTTTATTTTAGACTTTCGTCTTTTTTTCTTTCTTAATAAATTCCTTGGGCATGATGATTCACATTTCATGTTTGGGTCTTATACTCTTTTCATAAAATATTTTTAAATGAATTTTTGATATTACAGTATTATACTCTTTCGTTTCAATTTATATGGCACAATAAAATTTGAAAAGTCAACCTAATTTTTTATATTATTTTTAAATATTTTAAATTATTAACTATTGTAATATGCAGTACTATATTTTATATAAATATATAATCAACTAAAATGAAAAATGAGATAAATACATTAAAATAAAGTAAGTAGTTATGATAAGGTGAATGAGCTTTTCCACTTTGGTTTTGCTCTTCTTCCGACTTCATTCTTTCACTTTATATTTCCATTAAAATTTGAGATTGCAACCAATTTTCATTTGAGAGAAAATAGAAAATAAACTCACAAATTAAATTAGCATTTTTAGTATGGTGATTAAGTAAAAACAAACGGAAGGAAATACTATTCTCATTTGTTGCATTTTAGTTATATATATATTAGTCGCTATCGATTGTTCCCTCATAATTTTGGTATAATTATGAAACCAATTGATTCACCTTCGTCTATAACAAAATGAACTTAGCTCTACTGGTTTTGTTCCTCCTTAAGTTGGTGTTAGCCGATGAGGATGAGCTATCTCTTCCCTTTGAACTCCCAATCTTTGGCCTTGAACAAGGTGTTCGATGTGGAAAGCAAAATTCAGGCGTAAAATGTCTTAATGGAATGTGTTGTAGTGTGCAAGGTTGGTGTGGGAACACAACGGAATATTGTTCCCCTGGACAATGTCAAAGTCAATGTTGGTGCGGACGGCAAGCTAATGGTACATCATGTTCTACCGGAGAGTGTTGTAGTAACGATGGTCGGTGTGGAACCACACAAGAATATTGTGCTCCTGGACATTGTCAAAGTCAATGTTGGTGCGGACGGCAAGCTAATGGTACATCATGTTCTACCGGAGAGTGTTGTAGTAACGATGGTCGGTGTGGAACCACACAAGAATATTGTGCTCCTGGACATTGTCAAAGTCAATGTTGGTGCGGACGGCAAGCTAATGGTACATCATGTTCTACCGGAGAGTGTTGTAGTAACGATGGTCGGTGTGGAACCACACAAGAATATTGTGCTCCTGGACATTGTCAAAGTCAATGTTGGTGCGGACGGCAAGCTAATGGTACATCATGTTCTACCGGAGAGTGTTGTAGTAACGATGGTCGGTGTGGAACCACACAAGAATATTGTGCTCCTGGACATTGTCAAAGTCAATGTTGGTGCGGACGGCAAGCTAATGGTACATCATGTTCTACCGGAGAGTGTTGTAGTAACGATGGTCGGTGTGGAACCACACAAGAATATTGTGCTCCTGGACATTGTCAAAGTCAATGTTGGTGCGGACGGCAAGCTAATGGTACATCATGTTCTACCAGAGAGTGTTGTAGTAACAATGGTTGGTGTGGGACCATATCTTGTACTTCTGGAGAATCACATTCAAGCTTATCTCCACTGTTGGTAGGTCTCTTCATATTTTTAATTGGTGTTGCTCTCGTTTTCTATCGTCGTTTTGCAAATTCTCCCTTGTTTTCTACTTTAAGTTAGATTTATAGCATTTTGTTTATTTCATCTTCTATACTGTATTTTATCTTCGTTTGCTTTATTAATTACTCACTTTGTTGCTCTATTTTATATTTATGTATGACTTCTCTTAATTTATTCGGATTGATTATATGCACTTTTCTAGAATTTTGAATTAGTTATATATGTTGTTACTTTGTCATATATATTTGGTTATTTTTATTATTTTGTTATGTTGATTACTATTTACATGCATGTTGCCTATTACTTTTTACTGCTTTTGTTAGTTTTATGTGATTTTGTGTAGGAAAAGTTAAAATTGGTTGACTCTCATGTTTATAAAATATATTTAATTTTTAAGTTATTATTATTTTTCATTTATTTTGATTCATATTAATTCATTACTACACTTTTACTCATATTTGATTTTCATTAAGATTTAGACGTCTGAATTTGAATGCACATCCACCTACCCTCACTCCCGACCAGCCCCCCACCTCCTTCAAAAATAAAAAAAATTAAGTTTGTTTTTAAAAAATATTTTCTACTTCAAATTTTTATCTGTTCACCCCTACCCTCAATCCTCTCCCCGCCAGCCACCCCCACCCCACCCCTAACCCCCCACCCCAAAAAAAATATAAGTTTGCTTTTTAAAAATATTTATAATTTCAAAAATTATTTTCTACTCTAGTAAAAATAAAATATATTTCTCAAAATATTTTTCATTCATAAATCAAACACAAAATCTTTTCCAAAAAATATTTTGTACTCACCAACCAAACCTGAGAAAATAAGTCAAAAATTTACTTGTTTTCCAGAAAAACATTTTCCTTCATACCAAACACACCCTAAGGGGTCATTTGGTACAAAGATCAATAATGCAGGGATTGATAATGCATGGAATAGTAATGCATGGATTATTTTTATCAAGTGTTTGGTTTATTGTTTCTTACCTAGTTTTGTGTGTGGTTAAAACTCTACAAAAAAATTCTTTCCAATTATACCCTTGAGTTATTATGGGATTTCTATTTCATGTAATTGGGTCAAGGTAGATAATTGACGGACAATATTATTTTTTATAGCATTTTAACTAGCTAGGAGAATAAATTTTTTATTGTCATGTTCACTATTTTCTCATTTAAATTATTTGAGAGTAAATAATTGTCATCTTAATAAATTGGAGTTAATATCTCAAAAAGGTCACACAACTATAATAATTTATAGAGAAAATTTATTGAACTTTGTTTTGTATCAATAAATTAAAAAAAAAAACTCTTTATCATAAAATAAAATAAAAAAAATAAATAAATATAGCAAAATAAATTAAACTATTTTTATACTCAAGATGTTTATATATATATATATAATGCTCTTGTTTTAGATTACTTGTGTAATGTTTAATGGACTTCCGTTAAGAGGCAATAATTGACTTATGAATTGTTCTTAAATCCGTACATCAACATAATTAGCATATTAGTCGGATTATAATATTTTATATTAATAATAAATAGATTAAATAACTCATATTTTAGAAACAAAAAATTATATCTAAATAATAAAATTTGTAAGCAAATTTATTTAAATAAATTTATTAGTATAAATAGAAAACATAAAATCAAGAAAATAAACAAAATGATTAAAATAATTTGAGGCGGTATTTTTGTCTTTACCTTGATTAGTCCTATGGTATTAGAACTAATACCACCAAATGGAAGGTATTAGTTATACACCCTATAATACCATGTAGGGTGTATAACTAATCCATGGATTGATTATACATAGACCCAAAATTCCTACCAAACATAGTACTAAATAATACCACACATAATACTTGGACTATTTCTCCTAATACTCCCTACCAAACGACCCCTAAGTGTTTTATATAGGAACCTAGAGTTGTTTTCCAAGAAAGATATTCGAAAGACATTTGAATACTATTCTTTGACTCGTTATTATGTATATTATTGGCGTTAGGCAAATATTAGACCGTTTCTCATATTATTGCTTTATTTTATTCTTTGTATATATTTCATGTTTATACTTGTGCAATATTTTTATCTCCTCCTCAATTGAAAAAATTAATTCAGTCGAGACACACAGTTATAAATTTTGAAAGGTGCTAATACCTTATTCCCTTTGAGATTACTTGAACCCTTATCTAGAATCTACTAATTTTGTAGACATTTTTGTTAAATAAGCGACTCCAAAAAATTTTCTTAAATTATTTATAAACTAATAATTTTTTTTTATGAATTCCACGATATTGAGCCTTATTTGGAAAAATAAGGATGTCAACATCTACCTCCACCTCCACTTCCACCCCCACCCCCACCTTCACCCTCACCTCCTCCTCCACCTCCATCTCACCCCCACTTCCATACCCACGATGTGGAAGGCAAAGTAGAAATGAAAATGTAGTAAAACCGAAGAGTGTTGTAGTAATGATAAATATTAGAGCATTTTGATAAACATCTCGACACACATATAAGAATTTGTGTCGATGCTCCAATCAATTGAATAAGTTAAATATTTAACATTATTTACTTGTGAAATATGGTTTGTAAGTGAACCTTTTATTTTTTTTATCAATTTAAATTGGTGTTTATCCAAAAAAATTAATTATTTTAATAAATTGACTAGAATGATTTTGTTATTTTAAATTAGTGTGATCGATCAATACCTGAGACTTGAGAGGAAAGATATCAAACTTTGCAAAGTTCAATAAAGTTGTTGATGGAGCATGTCCTACTGGTACAGATTGAAGATTGTATCCATCGTCCGCCAAGAGTTATTGGAAGCTTGTTAATTGCTCAACGTTGTCTAGATTTTATTGGGACGCGATCGAATGAGTGTAATTATATTAATGCATATGAAATTAACTATCTCTATATAGATCTAGTGACGTGGTACGCGTAAATTATCAGCATTTATAATTACCTATACATATTTTCTAAAATTCATTCAAGCCTTAAATCATTTAAAAAGAATCTTCAATTGAGTCAATTTAATTTCAAATTTTAACTCATTTTAAGACTCTTTATTTGCATTGGTGTAATGTATGTTCCCATATTAAAGGTATGAATTATTATGTATTTTATATCTTCTAGAATTTATCTATCAATTTGTAATTTTTTATTTTATTTTTTTGAGTTCATGAAATTCAAATTATGATTGTAAAAGTTAATAACAATATATTAAAATTATTCAGATTAAGCGGGTCAAATTGGACGGGTCATGATCTAACTAGATATTTAGCCTATTTGAGCCCAACTCATTTGAGTCAAAAGGAAATTTGGATGGATCATGATCCAGCCCGATATCTTTTTCAACCCATTTTAATATCTTTAATTTCACTTCAACCCCTAACTATACAATATAGCTTGCTAAAAGTCAGAAAACATACAAGAACTATATAATATAGCTTACTTAATTATACATGAGCTATATATTGATTATATGAATGATACTCCCAAGCCCGATATCTTTTTCAATCCATTTTAATATCTTTAATTTCACTTCAACCCCTAATTATACAATATAGCTTGCTAAAAGTCAGAAAACATACAAGAACTATATAATATAGCTTACTTAATTATACTTGAGCTATCTATTGATTATATGAATGATACTCTCAAAAAACTGAATATACTTTAACTATATATAAAGTATACACTGACTATACATGAAGTATACATTGATTATTCAATCTCAATCAACTCGAAATCACCTCTAAAGTCTAAACAGTCCCAAAGTTTAGATATAAAATCCTCTCGAAGTTTCAATTTTTTTAATATATAATTTGCTCAAAATAAGTAACATTTCCGATACATCAAATTTTAAAGAAGAAAAAGGAGAAGAACATGATAAAGAAGAAGATGATGAGGAAGGACGAAGAAGATGACCATTTCCTTTGGAAAAAAATAGGCCCAATGGCCAGTTTAAATAAATTTTATAAATTGATAGGAGGATTACTTATCCCTAGCGATGACAATGGGCGGGGCGAATGCGGGGAAGAGTGGGTTTAAGGCAATGCAGGACAAGCGGGTTTAAGATTTTGCGGGGTGGGTTAAAGTGGATTTTTTTAAATTAATGCGGAGCGGGACGGGTTGTCGGTATATATGATTTTCTGTGGGTTCAAACATAATTTTAAATTTTTACATGTTATAAGAGTGATAGAGCATTATTTATGAAGATAATTTAAAACTATTGAAATGTTCAAGATAGTAAATTAAAATGGTTCAATAAAAAAATACAATTTCTCACATGTTTCCAATTGACTTCTAAAAAATAAATTTTTAAGTCATTATCTATTAAATTAATACAACTTGATGAAAACATGAATATATTTTTATGAATTTTATTTTTAGTATCAAACTTAACTAGAAGAATTTTTAAAAAAAAATTATGTAGAACGGGATAGGGCGGACTGAAAATAAAAAATTATGCAAGACGAAGCGAGATGAATTAAGAATTTTATGGGTTAAGTTGAACACGCCCCTCCCCGCCCACACCCTGTACCACTCCATTGTCATTAGTACTTATCCCTCACAGCTCTCTTAATATGATGATTCTCCCTTTATACACAATATATCAACAAATGAAAAAAAAAACTCAATCTTGCATAATTTTTTGAACTTTTATTCTATTATTTGCTGACTGGTTATCACTATCGATGCTATGTAATTTTCCACTTACAATTCTGGGTTGACTAATATTGGTCTATTTAGGCCTCCGTGATTACAGAATCTATCTGCTAAGTCTCTTGTTTCTAATACTTTTAAATATAAGCTTAATGCCTTTTTTAATTTTAACCACTCTGATTTTATCTATATTTCTCTGTATAAATACCAATATCTTAGTCGTAGTTGGTTAGCAAAAGGGTGTTTTTTCATATATTATCTCTGTCTAGATTTTAACTGTGTAATGAATTTATATTTTAGTCTAGATATTTTATCTATTAAATGGTCTAACCTTATATTGTCTTCTTTGGTACTATGTAGTCTCTTATATTCTAGATATAGACT